CTTCTACCTACTTTCGACTTTGCACTACCTCACTTAATTACTGCTTGTTCCACTTGGCGCAATCTTTGTCCAAGCGTTCCCGACAAAAACCGTGAGCCTGACTCCGACAATGTCTCTGTTTTTTGTTTTCTTTTGGGGGTCTTTTTCGTTTGATCTAAGAGTTCTTGTTTTTCATAATTACTCTCGAGTGGAAGCCACAGGCGTTTTTGAAGACGACGCTTGCCATCCACCCTACAGGTGTTCTTGTTTACAACTAGCCGGGAGCACGTGAAAGAAGGAGAGCCATCAAACACATGTGTGTTCGTGTGTTGCGAACGGAGCTGTGGCACGTCACCTGTGAAACAGACTGTAGTAGCTTCATGGCAAATTCCAGTCAAAACAATTCATAGGTCGACTGCCCATTTTACTTCAGAAACCAGCGCTGTGAGCGTGTGTATTTTTCAGTGTTACTTATGCAGAGGAAAATCTAAACAAATTTAAATATGCGCGTGAGAATATGTGAATACCAAAGACGTAGAGGAAATACAAAAAATATCAAAAATACCAAGAATACCAAGAGGAAATGGGCTTGTCTTTTTTTTAAGGTGTCCAGTTTATGTAGGGCTGGGACCCCTGGGATGTTCGACTTAGGCGAAGCATACCCCGAAGCATACCCTGAAGCATACCCTCTGAAAATGCTACTACTTTAGTCTTCACACTGCGCGAAGCATACCCCGAAGCATACCCCCGAAGCATACCTCCGAAGCATACCCCATAGTCAAGCATCCCGGCCCGGGAACCTAAAAAAAATACATACCCAAATACCAAAAGCAAAAAATATCAAAACTACAAAAAATACAAAACATACCAAAAATACCAAAAATACCAAACATACAAAAAAAACAAACAATATCAAAAATACAAAAACATACCAGACACACTAAAAATATCAAAACTACAAAAAATACCAAAAATACAAAAAACAAAAATATCAAAAAGACAAAAACTACAAAAAATACCAAAGACCTAGAGGAAATACTGCTCAGGTGGCCTATATGTCTCCAGAGGATTGGTAGGATTGGTATTTTTGGTATGTTTAATATTTTTGGTATTTTTGGTATGTTTTTGTATTTGGAGGGAGGGCAAACTATTCCTCTATAGGATTGGTATTTTTGGTATTTGAGGGGGGGCTACTGTTTTTCTTGTTTCTCTTTTGGAGTTGCTCTCCTGATATCATATGTGGCTAAGTATGGTCTAAACGGCCTAAGTCCGGCTACGGGTCGCCATACTTATATATATAGGTGGTACTTGGTAACGTTGCAGTGTACTTGCTAACGTTTGCTAAGTTTGCTAACGTTTGCTAAGTTTTTGTAATTTTTATATTCAATTTTGAAAGTGTTACGGTTGGCTGTTTTGTTTTCATGGGCAGTCAATACTATATTTTACAAAGTAAAGCAAAGTTGAACATTCATTCATTGAAGACACGCTGTAATAAACAAATAAAATATCATAGAATAGACACAGCACTGTAAGCGTATGCATTTCATGTGGCTAAATTTCTCTATTGGACACCTAGAAATAGCTGATTTTACTGGAAAATACACACGCTCACAGCGCTGCCCTCTCTTTTACTTCAACCTCCCGCGTTCCTTTGTTTCTTTGGAGAAGAAAGGGCTTGGCTAAGGCAGGGCAGAAACTGCATGGTAACAGCATTTGTGTGTTTGTATAAACACACGCGCAGGATCAGAGAATAACTAACTGATACTAACTGAAAACTGCTGGCTATATCTTGCTCCCATTGCCCTTGCACATCAACACATCACCACTGCTCTTTCCTCCTGTTAGGGTTAGTCAATATCCGATGATTCCGAAACAGACTATTAACACCAAAAACATATGAGCAACCACTTTTATTTAGGCTTTACTAAAGTAATCTACAGCATGCTCTATGACTCTATATTTGAACGAGATAGGGCCCCCGCATAAACGAGTACCTTTTTGATGACAGCGGTTTCTGGCCAGCGAGCCCAGCGAGCTTGCGACAAAGGAGAACCAAGGCAGATTTTTTGATAATAATTACGGAGGTAAATATGTGTAAAAAACATCTTCAAGAGAGAACCAATCAAACATGCTTGCCATTGCACAGATCTTTGGCAGCTCAAGCCTAGACGGTGTAAGGTGTGTAGAGGCTAAACAATCATTCAATCAAACAAACAGACGCAAACACCCACAAATTATAGGACCGGATAACCCCACATGTTCACAACTTCACCAGACACAGGAGCGGACAATTGGTGGTTGGTGGGTGACCATTGGTTGGTCGCAGTTTGTTGGTGGCAGTTGGTTGGTGGCAGTTTGTAGGTGGAAGTTTGTTGGAGGCAATTGGTTGGCGGCAATTGGTTAATTCCCTGGTGGCAATGGGTTGGTGGCAATTGGTTGGTGGCAGTCTGTTGGTGGCAATTGGTTGGTGGAAGTTTGTTGGTGACAGTTGGTGGGTGGCAATTGGTTGATGACAGCTGGTTGACGACAATTGGTTGGTGACAATTGGTTGGTAGCAATTGGTTGGTGACAATTGGTTGGTGACAATTAGTTTTGAGACACAGTTACCCTGGAGCTTGGCATGGACGGAAGAACAGTTTATTTTCTGAAAAACATATGAACCTGATGAAGTCCTGAAATATGAAATGGGAAAACTCACTTTCGGAGAATACAAGAAAACTATGAAAAACATAAGTTTTGGGTTATTTTCATATTTTTATCTATTTCAATATTATGTTCATATTTCGTTCATATTATTATATATTTTTCATTAAAACATAAACAACCATTTTTTCTATATTTTCAATTTCATAGTTATTCATTTTTTCACAAAAAAAGATCCAAGAATCCCTAGCCTCCACGGATACATATGTCTCAAAATTAGTTGGTAGCAGTTGGTTGGTAGCAATTGGTGTGTGGCAATTGATTGTGGGTGGCAATTGGTTGATGACAACTGGTTGATGACAATTGGTTGATGACAATTGGTTGGTGACAATTAATTGGTGGCAACTGGTTGGTGACATTTGATTGATGACAATTGGTTGAGGACAAGGTTTTTTAAAAGAACAGGCCCTCAAAACCCATCTTGGAGCTATGTTAGCCCATCTTGGACCTATCTCGGGGGCCATCTTGGGGCTATGTTAACCAATCTTTGGGGCCTCTGTTTGGCTCATCTTGCGGTGCACTTTGCAGCATTTACGTTGACGCGCGCGCATCAGCAAAGAAATTCCAATTATGCACGTCCGCGAGGCGCGCAATACCGACACCACCCTTGTAAAACCCACGGTTTTGGCATTTCGCCACTGTCCCAATTGTGGATCTTCCACGCCCACAAAACCCTGTAAAGCACAGTGTTTTTGAACACCACGCGCGCAAATCACAGCGGAACAGCGGCGGAGACCCAGCAGCGCCATCCAGCGCCAGGGCGTACGTCCCACCCCATCGAGAAGACAATTAGCAAGCAAATCATAATTGGTTGGCGACAATTCGTTGATGACAATTGGTTGGTGATTGGTTGTTGACAATTGGTTGTTGAAAATTGGTTGTTGAATATTGGTTGATGACAATTGGTTGTTGACAATTGGTTGTTGAAAATTGGTTCGTGGCAATTGCTTGGTGGCAAGCGGACGGCGGGAGGAGGCAGAGGGCGGGATGGTTACAACACAAAAAATATAGACCCCACACGTCGATGTGGGGAACAAAAACAAACACAAACAAACCAACCAACAAACAAACACACACAAACAAACACGCAAACAAACAAACAAACAGACAAACAAACAAACACAAACAAGAAACAATCAATCAAAGAAACAAACAACCACAATCAAACAACCAATCAAACAAACAAACAAACGAGCAAACGAACGAACAAACAAAGAAACAATCAAAAAAACAAACGCACAAACACAGAAAACAAACAAACAATCAAACAATCAAAGGGACAAACAAACAATATATCAAACAGACAACAAACAATCAAAACACAACGCACGACTATTTTTTGTATGTTGCTGTTCCACTCCCTGTGTTGGAAGGAGCGCGTTGTCCGCGCAGGCCTCGGACAGCGCTCCCAGGTAAATGTGGGTTTCGGAAAATTTAAACATCGTTTTACATGGTTTGGTGTTGGGCTTTGGGGGGTGGGGTGGGTGGGCGGGGGGCCAGTTGGCATCTGATTCCGACTGCGGTTTTGCGCAACCTTTCTGACATGTGCCCGTACCCTTCCACGTTCATGGAGAGCGAACCTGCATGAACGTGCTCCGGTCATTGTGGTGGATGAGTCGTACCCCAGCTGATCTTGCAGCCTATTTTATTATTTCCACATTGAGTAGAGTCTGGGTTGTGTCGGACAATGCGATGCAAGAAATCTCAGTGCGCTTGAAAAAACATTTGCATGCAGCTGTGCTGGCAAAGGCTTGCTTGCTGCGTTCCAAGACCTTAAGGTGCCTACTGCTCCTGATCGCCACAGTATGGCTACTTGCTTGTTTCAGACAAAATGTTTGTTTTCACGAAAGCTAGCATCAGCTAGCTGGGGTTGCTCTTGCTTTAGCAAGTCAAGGGCTCCCAGCCTCGAGAATCATGAATCACGTGAAAACTTCACGTGTAGGGGGGCCCCCCCCCCCCTCCCGCGGGTTCAACTCCCCCCTGGGACGCTTCCGGTACGTGCTATAGTGCTATGTTTAGGTGGCAGGTGAAGTAGGCCACTGTTTGAGTTTGGAAGGGGGGGCATGAAACATGAAATTTACGCGAGGGTTCAAGGCTTCAATGATGAGCATCACGGGAAGTCAGAAACCAGGCGTATCAGATACACGTGCCTTTGAGCTTCCTTCGGCATCTCAGTGCATATGGCTGACACTTCACTCGACAAAGATGCTCAAACAAACATACATAAACCAGGTGTATCTGATATGCCTGGTTTGTGACTTCCCGTGATGCTCATGATGCTGCGTTGCTTTTCTTCAGTCCCTCATTACATATAGTTCTCAGATCTTCTCGCAAACACTGAACGGAGCAGAAGTACTTTTTGCCGTCGAGCTGAAGTCTGAGCTCTTGCTTCCTCTGCTTCGCAGCCCTTTTGGCCGTACTTCCATTCCATCTCCATAGTCGCCATAGCTCTCCTCAGCGGGGATCTCCTCGACGCTCGGGATGATGTAGCCACGTGCTCCATGCTCTTCGTCACTGAAGTCACCTAAGGCTTCATGCTCACCCTCGTCGATCAGAGCTCCCACTCTCGCGGTGCCATGCTGTCGCGACTGGTTGTTCACTGCCTTCGACTTCTCGAGGGGATGGCGTTCAGCTTCATAGCCCTTGTTCTTCCTGGGTGCCAGCAGCTGACCATCAGCGCGTGCCATCCCCTTTGCGAGATCCTTTTGTCGCTCATGCGACTCCCATAGGTAGCCATGGAAGGCGTCGGAATTCCACCTTCCAAACCTCTTGACCACGTCCAGGTCCTTGGTGGTTTGGTACATAGCCGTAGCCCCACCAATGCGAAGACTGTGAGAGCCGTACCTGGTCGTGGATTGCCCATCTGCCACCGCCGCCAACTGGATCAGGTTCTGGATATCACCACGTTGCAGCGGTTTGCCATCTTCAAACCTGAACAGGGGCTGGTTTTCTTCTGCCCCCGCAAAACGTTCAGGCCTCATGTTCTGGTAGTCCGCGAGCGCCGCCGCCACGCAAAGTTCATCGCCACTCCGGAACTGATTGCGCACAGTGCCCTGGTTGTATTGGTCCGTCTTCGACCCTTTGAGGTAGATCACGATCTCCTCGGCCTGGTAGAAGTTCGCCACCTGCTTGTTGTCCTTGCGAGCCTCGATGTCGCTGCCTTTCAAAGTCCGTGTGCTGCCCCAGCTCCTGCCGATCGTCACCAGGAACTCCGAAGCCCTCAGGAGGAAGAAGAAGCCCACCATGATGGCAGCCCATAGGATCACCTGGTCACATTTGCTCAGCGTCTCACTGGTGCTCAGGTGCCGCCTGATCCAGGTCAACATCCCCGGCAGCACCGGGTACTTGCGTTTCGTCTCTGGTTGCCATCGCTTGTAACCATTCAGTGCTGCCCAGATGCGAACTCTGTTCATAGTGGGGTCATCGTGCCCTGCCACCAAATGGCCCATCTTGATCGCGAAAAGCCGCTGCTTCACCGTCCCTTCGGTCCGCCCCATGCATGACGTGCGCCAGGTAGGTCATGAACCTCAGCAGCTCGTCTTCATCGGCCTTCCGCTCGTCCTTGGTCTCCCCTGTCAGGTAGACGCTCTTGTTGCCCATGCGTCGCCACAAACACCATTGCTTCCAGCCAACTTCGTAGCCTCCGCGGGTTCCTTCCGAGAGCTTGGACATGACCGCCTCCGCTGCCAGTGCGTCCAACCAGGCTTGATCCCGACGAAGCTCCTTGTTGGCGTCCAACTGTAGCCGCTCGCGACCTCGTCCAATTGCACTAGGCAGCACCAGTCGGTCAGGTGGTGCGGATTTCGCCCTCTTCGATGGAGTTTGTCTGCGGCCGCCGACCTTGTCCACCTCCTCAATCCCATGCCTATGAGACATCAACCACTTTTCATAGTTTGCCTGGGGGTTCTGATGATCTCCCTGCCAAGCTCGCATCCAGGCCCGAACATGTTCATCAGCTTTCAGCCTGTCCGGGTCGGTGCACACCCCCACCTTCGCCTCAGACGAAGCGTCAGCGGTCTCCTGATCCTGTCGCCAGCGTTCGAACCAAGCAACGATTCTGGGGGCGCTCTGTTGTGGGAACTTCATCGCCGCATTCTTCTTGAAGTATTCCTGGCTCGACCCCAGTTCATGTAGTGCACGAACGTCATCAAGCCGCCCGCCATTGAGCAACCACTCCTCCTCTGGCCCGAGCCTCCGTGCTTGGACTTCTGTACCACGGTGATCGAGGACCACCATCGATCTCCCCTTCCGGCAAGTCAGTGCTGGGCCTCGGATGTCGTAGAGGAGCTCCTTCTGGTCATCTATGTGGTTCTCCCGGAAATGGCCTGCAGGCCATGGAAGCATGCGGTCTCCTGATGTCGAGATCTTGCTGTTCAGGGTCAGCTCTGTGTTTCGGTCAAGCCATTCTGGCTTCACTGATCCTGCAGCTGGATCCAAAGTGCGTTGGATGCTTGCCGGCTCAGCCGCGCTCCTCGGCGGCATTCATGGTCCATCACCGCCGCGACGTCCATCGTGAAGTGCCCCAAGGACAATGACCTTCCTCTTCGCGACCGGGTCCCCGTAGTGCGTCGTCAGGCAGTCGAAGGTACTCGTCTTGTAGCCCAGCTTTTCCAGGTCCATCTGAAGATCATCGACCGGGCCGTCTTTAGCCACATCGATCAACACACATCGTGGTCGGTGCTTCTTCACGAAGTTCTTAACATAGGTGCGGCTTCCTCCCCAACTGTCCTCCGCAACCGAGGCAAAAGCCCACGACAACTCGATCTCCTCCGTCACCAGGTCAATGTCATGGAAGAGGGACCTCTCGAGCTTCTCATCCAAGGGTGTGCATTTGGCGTCAATCCTGCAAACTTGACCCCCTAGACGATGCCAGGCAACAACCCAGGGCAGCATGCCCCGTCCGAGCTCCACGGCATACCCCGAGGCGACTACAGGGCGGTAGGGCTTGTTCTCACCGTTTGGCGCCTGAGACATACTGCCCAAGCTCTCCCCCCCAGGCCATCGGAAGATCCCCGCCACGGACTCGTCGATGTAGTGAGCCCAGTTTTCACCGACCTCCACCTTCGACCACCCATCGCGCTCCATCTGGGTTTCCACGACCTTCTTGGTCTCCCGGCTCAGCCAGTCCGCCGTGATGTTGTGGTACGTCCGGATGTAGAAAGCCACTGTCTTAAAGTGGAAGCGAACCTCCAGCATGCCCAAAATCCGAAGCATATGGCGAGCCACTGCACATTTCGACTGACGCTTCGTCAGCCAAGAGCGTACATTCTGATTGTCAGTCGCATAGGCGATCAGTTCGCCCTGCCATTCGCGACTCTCAGCTGCGGCAAGGCCAACAAAGCACAGGAGCTCCGCCAGGGCAATCTTCATCTCCGGGTCGTCGACAAGCTCCGGGACCTTGCCCAAGGCATGCAGCATCTCCCTTGCGTCTTCCCGCATGTAGCGCTTGGTCTTCCAGTCGAGTGCTCCCGCAACTTCAGGCGTTGCATCTCCTCCAACCCAGCGCAGCCGTTCACTCATCCCGGGCAGCGCCAGGAGCTCGCGCGTCGTCAGCATGCTCTCCATTGAAGCCTCAAACGTGCCCTCGTACGGGGTTTCAAACCAAAGTCTCAACAAGGCCAGCATCTCGTCCCAGCAACGCCAGGCTCGCTCTGAACTCTCCTCGTCGTTGACATTCGGCCGGATGTAGCCACCCTCGCAGCGACTGGGGCAGAGGAAGAGGTCGATCGTACTGAGTTCAGTGCGCAGTGGTGGTATAGTGATGGCTGCATACTGGCCCAGCCCCCGAAGTTCTTGAGCCACCTTCAAGCACACCATGCGTTCTCCATATTGGAGCTCAGGAAGTGCAAGTAGGTAGCGCATCTTCAAGGCCTTCGGCTCAGGCAGCCTAATGGTCATGCTGTCGACATTCATGAACAGGCCCCAGACAATCTGTTCCGTCGCGGGTGTGCCCTCCTCGATCTGCTTCTCGAGGTTCAAGGCGTCCTGACCCCAGATCTTCTCGATGGCGTGCCCAAGTGAGTCCACAGCTTGCCATGGGCGGACGCCCACCAAGGGTTCCACAACAACACTGTCGTCCATCAGCCATTCCGATGAGAATGGGCTCGGGCCATTGATGGTCTCCTCGGAGGGCTTGAAGTTCTCGTGGTATGCCCTTCCTGCCAAAGCGAACGCCATGTACTCACCCGGTGCGCCACACCAGCCAAAGGGAAGGCCTCCATAGATCATCTTCACCCTTCCTTCTACACCCACCGGATCACCTGGTAGGGCGCTGCCGAAGTCTGAGGTGTCCTCCGGCGCCACGTCATGCCACTTGAAGGCCCTGCTCACGTCCAGCTTGGCTATGAGGCATCTGATACCCGGGTGGCAAGCTTTCCACCAAACTGCTTACTGCTTTGCGGGCAATCTGCCGATGGCGTGGTTGTACGGCTGGAGGGTGTTGGTACTTGTGGGTGGCTGCATTTGCAGTCATCATCGCATGGATGGGCCGCCCTTCCGCACTGATGCTCCTGTCCGGTAGCTGCTTAGGCACGCGCCCCTGCGGGCACTCGATGAGGGTCTTGGTGTACTCCTCAGTCAAGTCCGACGCGAAGAGCACAATGCCCCAGTGACCGTCTTTCCAAGCCTTCTGGTACATCTCCTCAGGGTGGTCCACAGCTGATGGGTATGGTTCTGCCTTCACCCTCCTCGGTGGGTAGTACCTGCGTGTGCGTAACCCTTCTCCATTCATGGCCTTGAGGTAGTCGGCGTGGTCGGCCTCCAGGCAGTCCAGGACCTCTTTCGAAGTTGCACCATTGGTAGGAACCCCAATCACCTTGCGTCTCGCTTCACGAAGGCCCCTCATCGCGCTCTCGAGCGTCTTGGCTGTCTTCAGCAGGTCATCACCCAGCTTGACAGCGGTCTTGATCACCTCGGCGTCGTACTTGGGGTGCTCCCTGCAATGCTCCATGTACTTCAAGGCTTTGTCGAAGACCTCCTGGCTCACACCCTCATTCTTGGCATGGGTATCCCCATAGCCAACTTGGTGAGATTCTTCAAACTCCGGGCGATGGTCCAGCCAGCCACATGCCTGTTCCTCCTCCTGCTCGAGTGCGTAGGATGCCGCCAGGTAGCCCACTCTCCGGTCAGATCCATCACCGTCCTGAGTTGCAGCGCGCCCCCTTGACCTTGATCTGGAACGCCTGGGTCGATCACTTGAACTCCTAGGTCGGTCTGCCGCCTCGCTGTTGTCGTGCTCCTCGCCTTCAATGCGGCCTCCATTCCAAGGGTCCCACACCCCGCCTCCGGGGTAGTACCGTCTTGCTGCCTCCACTTGGGCCTGAGAAGGTGGGTCGAACTCCTGTGGTGCACGGAAAACCGGAACATAGTCACGCCCTTCAGGGAGTCCTGGCTGTAGGCCGTCATTTGCGTCATGCTGAGCGTCCTCACCCTCCCCTTCTTCTTGCCCGTGTCCAAAGTGCCTCCCGAGCTCCGGCCTAATCTCCGGGTCATAGAGGTAGAATGTGGTGGCTCCTGTCCAATCAGCATATTCCGCCTCAATCGAGTCAGGGATGTCACGGAGCCGTGCCAAGTCCACCCGCCAGTTGTCCAGGAAAACTCTTTCATGTGGGACAATCTCAGCCAGGTCACGCCTCTGAGGGAACATCCAGGTCCTGCGATCACTCCGGATCAGGTGGTCCGAGACTGGACAGTCTATCCAGTCTCCGTAATGCGAGCCGAACATGTTCCTCCGAGGCATCACGTGGTGGCGCACAAGGAAGAGGGTGTCCTCCTGGTAGTCCCACCAATCCTCGGAGCGGCCATTCAAACCCTCAAGTGGTCTTGGAGGGCCAAATACATTGATCCTACCCTCATAAGGACGGACAGGATCCGGTGCTTCATCTGGAGCCACTTCACGAGGGATGAGCCTGGCCATCACCGCCGCCTCGTCACGCGGGTTCATGCGCCGGTCATCGTCGCTCATCGACTCCTCTTCCTCCCCCTCGCCTTCCAGGAGCTCTTCGGGTGGGATCGGAATGCCCTGCGCAAACTCGCTCTCCCCAATGCTGCCACAGTAGTGCTCACGAAGGATGAAAAAGCCCCCTTGGAACTCTGAACCTTCAGCGCTGCCACATCGTTCACCTGGCGATGGAGTGGATGAAGAGGAGGAAGTAGCGGAAGTGTAGGGGGTGGCGAGCTTCCCCGCCTTCGCCTTGTATGGAAGTGCCCCTTCTCGGCCATCGTCCTCTTGAATGACCTCCAAGGCTTGTGCCACCTGCATAGTGTCCCAGCCAGCATATGCCGCTTGCACCACGAGCGCAGAGACGTGCTGGATACACCTGTGCTCGCCTTGTCCGAGGTACTCCTGGGATGTCCGACTCACCCTTGACGTCCATGTGGCGATGTTTCCCTTGGCAACGGCGAGATAGCAACAGTGCATGGAGGTACAATCCAGGAGAAACTAGATTCCACTGACCCTTCTTGTATCTCATCTCGGGCCTGTCGCTCGGTGATGCGCCCCATTCGCACAAATGGGTGGGCACGATGAGCGCTCCAGTGGATTGTTGCAGGCGTTGAATCGCCGGCTGATCCCAAATTTTGGGATACCTTCCAGAGGGCATCGACGACTCGAGCACAAATTCCTTGTCATGATCGTAGAGCGATTGGCAGAGTCGGCTGGTCAGCTCACAGAAGTAGTTGCCCTCCTCTTCGCTCTGTGTTGGAACTGGTCCTCCTTCAGGCGAGGTGAAGCTGCGTGTCCCCCCGTTCAAGAGGTTGAAGTCACAATAGCTTGTGCAGGGCGTTCCAAATTCCCAGATGTTCGCTGCGTGCGGGCCCGGGAGCTCCATCGCAGCTTGGAGGTAGCGATTTGCCACGGCCTCATTCTTCAGGTCAAAGTGGTCTCGCTTGTCCTGCTTCTGGAGGGGGTCGCCATACAGCTCGACTGGCTCATTGAAGGCTATGCCCGCTTCGCCCATTGCTTGTGTCCAAGCTCCGGATCCGGCAAACATCTCCTGCACCCGGACTCCGTATGCGAATGATGGCCTATGCTTCAAAGGCATCTGGGCCCCCATCAGGATCAGCTCTTGCGTGTCGATGGGGTGCTCGTTGAAGCTCCATGGGACCTGTGGTTGCGCTTTGCCTTGTTTCGAATTGCCATCCATGCATCTTGGGCACCTCGGTCTCTTCCCTGGCACCAATGGAGCTGCTGTGTCCTCGTTGGCCAAGAACTCTCTCCAACCTTCACACTGCCATTCTCGATCTGTCTGGCCGCTAAGCGTCAGCTGTGCCGCCACCTTGACCGGCTCCTCCTTCTCATTGGGCACCAGGAGCCTGATGTGACCGCCATGGATCAGAAATGGAATGATCTGTCCTTCACTGCCGGGGTTGCTTCCCACAAGGTGGTCCACCTGGAACTGCCCACGGCAGTTCAATCTCCAGCACTGCAGCGTCACATCACGCAGCTCCTCGATCACGAAGGCCTGGAATAGTCTGTATAGTCCTTGTCGTGGTTGGCTCGAAGGCAGTCATGTGCATAGCCACGGACCTCTGCTTCGCGAGCACCGATCCAAGGAGCTGGATCCCCCAACTCCGCAATGGCTCGTGCTGCTTCGTCCCAAAGCTCTGCTCTGAACACCTGCGCCTTCTGCTTCACCTCCTCGATGCTAGGCCTGCGCTCGGGGTCCCAATCGCCTTCCCAAAGCAAAATGCCAGCTGCGGGGTGTAGGACAAGACATTGGCGTTCTTCATCTTCTCCAGGCTGTAGTCCCAAAGCGCTCGCTAGTTCGTCTGGAGCCCTTATAGTCCAGGTAGCGCCAGCAAATACTTTCTGCCCCGCACTGGAACTCGAATTTTCCCTCGCCATAGCCCTTGTCTTTCTGCCAGGTTGGTGCACTGATCCAAGCTTGCTTCTCGTCATCGGCCCATCCGACCGATCGCTCCTCGCTGAGAACCTTCTCCGCCTCCTGCGCCAGCTCAGGGCACCCTTTCTCCGTAGCCTCAAGGAGCACGTCATCGATCGTCATCTCCTGCTTCTCAATGACGGCGTTGAGCATCCTGCCCCTCACATGGGATTGAAGATAGCTGGACCAACTGCTCAACCTGGTGAACACGCCAGCTCTCTCCATACCTTCAAGGACTTTAAGGCGGCGCTGAACTTCAGGATGTTCCACCCTCTTCTCCCAGGTGATGTGCCGCTTGTGCCCACCATCGAGCATCGGGTCTCTGAGCCAGTTCACGTCCGGCCCCCGGGTCAACTCCCGAAGCTCATCTTCCAGCTGGGTGTATTGAACTCCTTCATATTCTTCCGGGGGAAGCCACCCTTGCTTCTGGCTGCCACTGTCCTTCACCTTCTCATCCTGCTCCGCCTTGGCTTGCGCCCTCAGCTGTGCGATCCTGCCATCAACTTGGCCTGGCTGGATCATCGGACCACTCTTCAGTCCACCACGGCGAATCAGCTGCGCCAGCACCGTCCAACGCAGGCCTTTCGTAGTGGTGATAGGCTGGTGAGCATGATTGCAGTCTTTACCTCTGCTACACCCCATGTGTGTGGCACCGTCCCAGCAGATGGGTTTCCCTTCCTTCGTCCGTGGTCCATGCTTGACCGACTCCGCAGCCTCCTTTGGCCTCAGCCGCTTACCGGCCGGGTAGGCCTTCTTTTCGTCTCGCTCCTTCTCCTTCTTCTTCTTGTCCTTGTCACCGCCACGGTCTCGGCCTCGTCCCACACGATCATCATCGCCGCCGGCATCACCACCATGGTGTTCACCTTCTCCTCCATGTTGATCTCCTCCCACCTTGGGTGCTTGACGCTTGTGGTGCAGCTGCCCATAGATGATTCCCTTCAAAGCTCTTGCTTGCCTCGGGACGCACACCTGCTGGTAATAGCCCTCGGGATGAGCGAAGTCGAAGGTCCTGGGGAAATGGAAACCACTATCCGGTGCGAGCGCCACGAACTTGAGGTCCTCCTTGCGCGGGTTGTCAGTGTTCAGGATCCTGCAAAGCTGTCTGCGGCTCTCCCTCAACTCTTCAACCCAAGCGGCTTTGAGCTCCTCCCACAGGCTGTAGCAGTAGTTCTCCGGCCAAACGTCCGAATCCTGCTCATGAGCTCTCTCGATCTGATCCAAGGCTTTGAGCCGTTCTTTCTTATGCTCCAAGCCCAAAACTGATCCGATCATTTTGATCTCATTCTTCGCCTGCTTCAACCAGGTAGCGAAGTGGGTTGGGTACCTTGGCTTCGGCTCGATCTTGTCGTCCTTGGGCGCTTCATACTGGTCGAAGTCTCTTGGCTTGGCCGTCACCGCATGCGCCACGCTCAACTGCCACGGCGCCAACGTGGTGTGATCCTTCCCACCATGCTGCATGGCTGCGAGTCCATAGGCGATGCCATTCGTCACCAAGCAGGGCCACTCGATCTGTTGCAGCTTGGCCTTGGCATGTGAGCAGGCTCTCTTCAACGCATCGAACAGCTCCTTCCCGGTGACATCGGGGCAGACCTCCACGGTTAGGGTATTGCATCCCCGGGCTACGTAGACGTGCAGGCCTTCCTCTGAGCCAATGGAGCTTCTTGTCCCCGAGTTGCCCTTCTTGTCCCCTTCCGTGGCCTTCCGGAGGCCCTCCAAAGCGTGCACGACGCGAGCTCCCATCTGCCCATCTTCTTCGTCACCTCCGGCTCCTGCACGTGTTGAGGTGTCATCCAACTTGCTCCCAAGCCCGAAGAGTTGTCCCACCACCCCATATCGCTCACTGTCAAAGGGTTCTGGGTGCCAATGCTGCCTGCTGGGCGAATGAGGCTGCTTTCATCCTTTGCGGATCCGAAGTGTGATGGGAACAGCTTGTCTGAGGTCGTTTGCAATCTCTTCTCTCCTGGTGCGGGTTGCTCTGGTTGTGCGCTGGGCGGCTTGGCCTCATCCTTGGTCACGTTGTAGCTCGGTGCTCCTGCGCCCTTGAGGATCTTGATCGCCACCTCGACCTGCTCATTCTGCTTCCCACAGTTCCTGCGGATGTAGTTCCTCAGGGTGCTCTGGATGGCGCTGAGGTCCACTTCGAAGATCATCTGGATCGTGTCGAGTGCCTCCTGATGGTTTTGGCCTGATACAAGGGCTGTCGCATAGGCCTCGACAATACCCTCACCGGTCATCTCGTCGCCTTCAACGTCCCCAGCCGCGTCCAAACCATCTGTCATCTGGGTAGGTTCCTCCCCATGAAAACAAATGCCGATCCCTGCGAACCACCTCCATCTTCTGCTTCACTTCGTCCTCTTCTCTCATGACCCTGGCCAAGCTATGGCTCCGGCTACGTGATCTCTTTCTCGGCTCCTCCGGGGCTCCGACAGGTTGGGCTTCAGCGCGTCCACGAACTTGCACATCAAGCCCGAGCTCGGCTTCAGCCGGCCAACTAGGCCAGACCTCTCCTTTAACAAAGCCCGCACTGTGTTTGCGCACCAGGGTGGCGATGTTCTTCTTGACATAGTCAACCTGCAGTTGGTTCAGACGTCTACCGCTGCCAATGGTTCGCCCCTCCCACGATTTCAAACGCTGCACCAGGTGTTCCGGGACGATGTAGCCCTTGATGTCTAATCCAATGCATGCAGCGTCTTGCGGGATGTCATTGATCAGGAGCTGGGCCTTAAGAGGGTCAAGCTCCTCCACACTCTTGGCCTCGGTCATGTCCTCCAGGTACTTGGGATCGACAACGATGGTGGTCTCGATGTACTTGGTGTGGATCTCGAGCTTCCGGTCACCTCGAACTCCTCCAGGTGTGTAGCCCACGAGCTCGCCTAGGCACATGATCCATTCGCACTCTCGCTGCCCCTCCGTGTAGTTGAGCTTTATCTTCATCCACACGGGCTTCCCCATGACATCATCTTGGTCGAGCATGCCTCTGGGTGGCGATGGGATCATCACTTTGCCAAGGTCGACAGAGCTCGACCTCATAGGTGCCATGCCGCTCTCCTTCTTGTTCCGAACTCCTCCAGAGTCGGGGTGCCTCTCAATGCCACCTCCATCCGGCTGCTGCTCAAGCGCTGGGCTCCGGCTTCGACTTGTTGATCTCCTCGTGAACCTCCGCCTAAGCCCTTGGAGCATACCATTAGGATGGGGGCTGTCCTTCCTCAGTCCTGACCCTCCTTGTTCACACAGGTGGTCGTAGCAGAGCGGGACTCCATGCCGTGCTCCCTTGGATGCTTTGTGGCAGGTCAGTACCCCACACTTTCGCTTGGCTGCTGCTCCCTGATATACTTGGCGATGATGAGCACAGAGTGGTACGCGTGCTAGTTGTCCTGGTCCAGGCGGGCGCACATCAGAGACCTCGATGTCCTCGTCCAGAAGCGTGGTCTCCTCCTGCGTTGCCATGTCATTGCAACCATCAGGTGCTAAGGGCCTCATTTCACCCTCGATCACCAAACCAATGCGCACTCCTTGGCACGAAGATTCGTCGCCCTCCACCTCAGACTCCGAGTCGGGGTCAAGCATCCGTTCATGTCCGTCTTCGTCACGAATGACACGGTTCCCCTTTTTCACACAACAGATGCGGCAGCAGCAGCGAGTGAGCCTCGCAACCAACCCAAAAGCGCGCCATAGCCCTCGTCCTAGTAGACCAAGGAGCCAACGTGGTGAGCCATGGGCATAGCGATGTAGATCCAATAAGGCCTCGTGATCAACGCCAGCGAACTCCTGGATATGCATGGTGTGATCAGCTCGGCATTCAAGTTGTCGACAAAGATGAACTTCACCTGCTTCTTCAAGTTCTCGTCGGAACTGCCGAGAGGTGCAGCCGGAGACTCCATTGAACTTCACACGTAGCCCATCGCTGTCAATCCGTTTCAGCATGCTCTCTTCCTGAAGCAGTCGAGCCACATGCCCTCCTCGACGAACCACCACGTCATTCAGGCGCCGCCGGCTACCGCGCCCCTTCAAGCGCTGCTGTAAATACCTGGTTTCTGTCGGCCAACCGGTCTTTGGTCCATGCCATTCAATCTCACTCATCAAAGGCCTTGCACTAGGTAGGTGGGCATCAAGACCATCGCGCCTCCTGCAACAGCATAGGCCGCAAAGAGCATGCACTCCTCTTCCCAAAGCCCTACATGGCCCCGTCAAGGTGTGCAAACTGTACGTCAAGATCCCGAGAATCCCGGTCAGGAAGGTCACCATGACGAAGCAGGCCACCCAAGGCCACCAGCTACCGAAAGCTTGCACCCCAATGCCGTCCACGAAGTAGCCAGCCCAACCACCGTCAACCCTCAGGCGTCCGGGCAATTCCGGCGTCCCGAACCATGGGGCATCCTCTCCAAAGCCATCGGCACTCCACCAAAAGCCCCAGATCGTCCCCTCAAACCACCAGAAATCGCCCTTCCGGTAGGTGTTGTTGCTCGGCGGCACAGCATCACCGCCGGGATCCACATCAGTGGGGTTCTCCTCAAAGTTGTGCTCCTCGATGTGCCCCAGCTGCCATGGCCATCCTATGACTGCCGGGAGTAAGGGCCCTAGGATGTATTTCCACATCCTCTATGCGATTGCCACTTCCAGTGGCAAAAGCCTCCCTGAGCCCCATACTTCGGATGCGATTGGCTCAAAGAACCTTTCGTTTTCCAAAGTCAAACTAGCATCATGACGATCCAACAGCAGATTCAACAAGCTCACATGTTCATGACATCGACATCGATAGAAGAAACCAAACAAGTCATGCAAGCAGCTTTGTTTTGCCTCTGGGACACCTCTTGGGCACCTCTTATGGCATCCACACTGGTTCAACTCCTCCGTGGAGGTTTTGGGATACGGTGCAACAGATTCAACAAGCTCACAGGTTCGTGAACACATCGGATGCATCGAACAGTGTGGCAAAGTCCAGCCACGCTTCCTTAATTATCGGGGACTTCAATTCTAAGGTTGGCTGTGTCATTGCTGTTTGTGTGTCTTACATGTTCACAACGTTTTACCTCATGAGCATTTGCCTCACTCCGCTTGATGTCCCACCAGTCCGGATGCACCCCTGCTAGCTTTCGTCACCTACCCTCGGCCTCAAGTTTTCGGTTAGAGGAACGGGCAAAATTGAAGTGCCTCCTTGAATTCACTAACTTGAAACTCCTTCCAAGGAGGAGATGACACCAGTCATCAAGATGCGCTTGTCCACTCTGACGAAGGGCCAAGTGAGGTTGCTGCGGCGGTCTTACTCCAGCCAAAAGGAAAGGCGCCACGGTAGGAGGGGACAATGCCAGCGAAGCTGAGTTTTCCAAGTTGAAGAGGTGCTTGCGAAGACCAACAAAGTCGCTCGTATGTCTCCAAAGCGCACTCATGTTGATGTTCTGGCTGGGGCGGTCACCCGGATTGGCCCCTCTTGTGACATCTCTTGATGCTGCCGGCCAAGCAAGCCAACACCTTGGAAACCATCCCAAGCACCTCTTGAGCATCGACCATACAAGGATTGGTTGATGCTCTGAAAACGTTTGCCTGGTGGAAGAAAAACAGTTTTGCGTAGCAGGCCAGAGGGCAGGCTGCGGATCTGCGCGCAGCAAAGGTCGAGAGTAACACAAATCAAATCAAGCCATTGCAGTGGCCGTAGCGTTATATAAGACCCTCAGAACCGATCAAAGTCACAAAAAACTAAACAACAAAAAGCAAACACAGGCCGCAGTCTCAAACACTTAAGTAACAAAAACCATTAAAAAAAAAAAGCGCGGTTAAAAACAATTAACGCTTCACCCTGGTGTCCAACCGCTACTTTTTTTTGGCCACTGTTCTTCTGCTGCTACCTCCTTCAGAACGATTGAAGCTTGACACCCCAAAATTTCAATATCCATTTTTGTTCACATTGCCAAAGACCCAAGGATGAACGATGACGTTCCTGACAAGTCCTGCTTGAAGATCAACTGCCTCTATAACCATGGCACCTTCATGGCGTATCAGGATCTTAAGCAAACTATCCGGTCGAGGTCAGCGTGCAAATACCTTCCCCCAGCAGCATGCAGAACCGGCGGCTCGCACACAATGGACTCATAACGGTTCTGTTTTCCACGAACGAAGGGTCTTCGGGCGGGGCTCGAATTTAAGCGCCGAATTGCTGTGCGCACGGCCCCACTCTGCCCAGAGAAACCCTGCGCCACACATCTGTGACCAAAAAATAGGATGGAAGCTATCATCATAACCAAGTGAATCATTCGTGTCCATCCAACGGACCCATGTCTAATTTTGAATGGCAGCTGGGAAGCCAAATGAATTGATAGCAACTTTCCCGCATGAACTGGGAAGGATGTAAGGAATCAAACACCCACCCAGGACAAAGCAAACGTTGCGGGCAGCGCCAGAACTGTCAGTGCCTGAAAGAACATGTAGCAATCTAGTCGTGGCTGGGTAATCCCAGCTAAGAGTTTTGAGTGCCCATGCAACATCCCAGAATGCCAAACCGGATGAACGTCTCCCGAATGCTTCCAAGGAACCAAGGAACAAACCAAACAAAAGACAACCCAACAAAAAAACAACCCAGAAAGACCATGCTTTCTGGCAGAGCCAGGAACCCACAAAAAAACTACTGTATTGTTTTTGCTCCTGTCGCTGGTGTTGAGACAGACGCAGCGCCTCCCCCTAGCAGCCAACATGGCCAACCGCTGCAGAAATGTTCACTGGAAAAAACAGGTCTTGGGGCTGAACAAACGAAACCCTAGAATTAGATAAAATCTGTTCCTAGAATTGTGTCATGGGTTGTTTTGAACGGTTTTTCAAGACACCATACCGTACCCTTTTTCAACCCAATGTCCAAAGGCTTACCTTTTCCTTCCTTCCTTCCTTCCTTCATTCTTTCTATTGCTTCTTATTGATCCTGATAATGATTTTTTGATCCTGAGAACAAGTTGTTTTGATCTCTCTTGCCTTGACTACAATCTGCGATCTACAACAAAGCTTGAACCAATATCAGGAACATTTGCTTCTGCTGCTGTTTCTAGTGCTATCTAGCGCTGCTGCTATAATTTTGCCGTGTTCGCAGTTTATTTGCAATTTGCAAGCTGTATTGACATCACTGTAGATTCTCTGCACTTGTTGGTACTTTAACAACTCAACGTTTTTTTCATTACCAATGAAATACTTGCTACAGTACCTTTTGCCATACCGCTGCTCAACACTAGCAACGGAGTCTAAAAAGGGAGAAACAGACTGGCGACCCCGGGGCCATGATCAGCTATAGCTTCGTGTAGATTCACAGGTTTTCAGCCGATACAGCCTCCTCAAAATCTGTGTGACCGCGTTGGCCCGTCCTAGGGGCATGGCCACTCCTGCGGTTGGAGCCGCATGGTCTGCCTTCAGGCCATGACAAAGTATGGAGCTGCAAAACTATGGAATGTATCACAGGGTCTGAATGTCAAAGATTGGAGTGTGTTCAACTGACACTCATTTGACCAGGTCATCTCGTAGAAGCACGCACGCGGTGGTCCTGGGGAATCGGCCGCAATATCGCTGGCGGCCCTGTTCGCATGTTTGGAAGTCCTTGAGGTCTTGCACAACCGCGTTGGTTGGTTATGAACTGAGACTCCCTTCATATTTAATTTAGTTGATATTGGCCAATTGACAACCAACGTTGTTGTCATGATATTTTCGGAGACTGCTTTGTTTGTCAGGTCTTGGCTTTGCCTTCTTTTCCCAGCATTCGGAGTATTTTGCGGAAGGCACCATGGGCTCCAAGCCCTTTGAGCAACAATAAATCCTCAACAAACTGAGAAAGCCACGCACAAGGCCGGTCTCCTTGTGGAGACTCCCTGATGTTCAGAGAGAAGACAGCAAGAATCCCCAGATTGCCAGCTTCCTCTTTCCTGAGGAGTTTCTGTGGTGCTTGTGTGTTTTGATAGTTTATTCATCAGCCAATTGCCACTCTCTCCGAGGTCGCGTAGAACTAGCTGCCACAGTTGGTGTCTTATTGGGAGCAAGCGGGGAGGACCCTGTGGACCCTGATTCTCAGAAAGGCTTGTAGGTCTTTCTGTTTTGAGGCCGCACCGATTGCGAGAAAGAAAACAGGTTCAGCACTCACCAAAAGAGTGCTGCACTCAACAGGATTCCATAGAATTTGCCGGCATGCCCGGCAAGACGGAAGCCACAGCTGCACATGAGACCCAGGTGCCACCACCTTCTGTCAAGGTGACCAAATTGAAGAAGGGTGAAAGATACCGAGGGCTCTGCGCTCAGACTTTACCAAGCAAGTGAGCAGAGACAAAACAAGGACGACCAGCAGGCCTGCTGATTATAGTGAGCTCCAATACACTTGAAAGCGGCGACGACTTGGGGCTCACAATGGGGGAATCTCCGTTTTCTAAGTGGTTCCTGCTTTGAATAAACGATAAGTGCAACTCATTCCATGGGCAAATCAAACAAAGAGGCTGGAACAATCTCGTGTGAATGGAACCCGGCCCGCCTTTGCCAGTACAGCAAATTGTGCAAGTACTGCACTGCAAAACCCAAGACAAAGTCACAGATTTGTGAAGCGGGGTCAGTGTCGATTGTCAGAAAATGTCTAGGGAGCATTGAGGGGTGCCAGCTCACAATCCTTGCAAGGAACGCGCAACTAGTGGAGCTTAGAGAATCTGGTAGCTTCGGCAGGTCCATGTCTGGAACAGGCAATCACTATGTCACCACAATGCTATTAGGCCGAGGCCATCGCAAGTAGGTTGGAGGCCATCGCTACTAGCAACAAAAAGCTACTAGTAGCAATGACGCTATTAGTAGCTCTTGGCATTACTACTAGTAACAATGTAACAAGAAGCTACTAGGGTGGAGGCCATTACTACTAGTAGCAAGAAGCTACTAGGAACAAGAAGCTACTAGTGGTGGATGATCAGTCCCAGCCTCCCGGGATATATCAGGTTCAATGACGATTCCTGCTCAGACCTGGCTTCGAAGCCTGTCGAGGTATATCAACCCCAGACTCAAAGCACTTGTCGAGGTGCAGCTGACGTTGCATATTCTCTCGGTGCATTTTTTTAGAATATAGACCTTTAATGACCTTTATAATCTTTATATACTCTGTAGACCATTCTTGTTGCTTATTTCATTGAGAAAGTGCCACCTGCATGGCCAGACATCTGAATACCGAAAAGTCGTAGACCTCTTGGCAAGACTAGAGAACGAGGCGTGATTCTCAGATTCGGTCAACGCCAAAAGGTAGGCAAAAAGTTAGGCCCAAACAATGCATCTTGCCTTTTCAGACGAAAAGAGCCCACCCACGGAACGAGAAAGTGAACTTAGGGGCAGCTAGATCGCCTCCTCCTTTCAGCAGAGGCAAGCTAAGTCTGTTTGTTGGGTATCAAGAATCATAGTGAACAGAATCAAAGGAATCAATGCATCAATGCAGGGATATTGGAAAGATCTCAACGTCTTTGAGATTTCTCAAGTGGTACCACACCTAGAAGCCGCTGAAAGTGATTGCACACTACCGTTGCTGGGATTGAAATGCAATCTTTGCATTGTCAAAGTTCAATGTAGGAGAAAGAAGAAGGACGACGAGCAGTCGCAAAGATTATGCG